CCCAGCCTCTCTCGCCCCAGCGCCCTGTGTCCTCAGAGCCCCAACACAGACAGGAACTGGCGTGGTTACCCCTCCACTGTAACCTTCCTTCCTAGGATGCTTATTCTTGCTTAACTTCTTCAGGAGAACATAGGCACAACGACAGGAGGCGCAGGGCGTACAAAGCGGACGACCTGGCCTCGCTGCAAAAAAACCCACAGAAAGCATCCAGGTTTCAACCACACGTATGTACAGAAGCTTCCCTCCTGGGCATGCATAGCGATGGCTCTGTCCTTACAGCTCTTCCCAGGACTGTGTTTGGCTCCTCCGTTTCCTTCCATTCATCCGAATTTGGCTAAGACACCAATCAATCCTCATTAAAAAAAAAAATAAATAAATAAAATTAATAAAAAGCTGTAATCCCAGAAGTGAAAAAGATTTCCCCAAACAACTGATGTCAAAGCAGGTCAGCTACCTCTAGGTGGCATGAGATAAACGAAGGCAACAAGCGGAGCCATCTTAAGGTTCTCCAGAGTCCCCTCAGGCCAGGCCTTGATGTATTTAGAAACAATTTAGAAACGTTTGACAAAACGTATACATCTTCTGCATTTACATTCGGGGATGTGCCAGAAGACACACGCCGGTGTGGGGGTAGTAGTGCAAGGTTTGCACGAAGGCATCCCTTATGGTAACTGATCGACAGGTAGGTAAAAAGTAAATCTAATTTAAAAAAAAAAATAATAAAAAAAATACCTCTTTCCTCCAAATCCTGCCTTGCTCGTATTCGTGGACCTTACAAATACCACAGCAGGGAGCAAGCCCCAGCTGTGCCGAACCGCGACCTGTGGTCTGGATGCTGCGTTCCCCTTAGGCAATTCACTTTGGCAAAGCACGCTTCCCTTCCTGCGATGAGAAGGAAACCTTCCACGAAAAATACTCTCCTTGCAGATCAGACCTGCTCAAAGGGGGACGGCGTTTGCAGAGTTCTGCTAAGAAGGCTCAGTGCTTCCAAGGGTTGCTCACAAACCTCCCGCCCCTGCCTTCAGCTTTGGCCGCAGCGTGTGGCAACGGCGCCTTATCAGTGACATCCTGCTTTTGTAACAGCCGAGGGAAACTGCTGTCCTCCCGCCGCCCTGAGCTCCGAGTCATCCATCACTTGGCTAAAGAGTTCCCCCAGCCTCCTGCCTCGCTCCCTGCCACCGTTTAGGGAGTAAGCCAAAAAATCAGCTCCTGTGCACAGCACGAGCTCAGACCTGCCTTCCAGGGAAGGAGCTGGACGCGCTCCGTCTCCTCCGCTCCTCCTGCCTTATAGATCTCCTCCCGAACAAGATCAATCCCCTCCGTCTTTCCTCATGTGTAATGTTTTCTAGTGCCCAGATCAGTCTTTTTTTTGGGTCTGATGATAAACTCACGCGTACAGTTGCTGTACAAACTTTAAAATGATTGCTGTGCCTTAGCTGGAGTCTGGGCGATTCTACGTATTTCTTACCTGTCTCTTGGCCATCTGCATTTGTGCCGGATTCCAGGAATCTCCCGTGCGAGATGTCACCTTCTCTGTTACTCACTTCCTCTTGGACGTTATCGTAGAAGAAACAAGTTTGCCTAGTAGATCAGGTTGGTAAAAGAAAGGGGAACAAGAGACTTACTTGTACTAGAAGGGATGTCTTTATTATAGCTTTGAAATTGCTTGAATATTACATTAAAAATAACGAAGCAGAAGGATTGCGGCTGTAAGCATTTGCTGTGCTTGCACTTTTCAGATCCCATCTTTCTGTGAAACACAAGAAAAAAACCAATACAACACTGGTCACAGGTGATCTCACATCCCTCCAGCTCCCCTTGTACCGGTTTTGGGATAAACCTGACCCAGCAGTGCACGGATTCAGATAATTAAACAAGCAAAAAATTCTCCCTACAGTAAGGTGAACTATTTCCTGCTAGGTGGGGTCTCCCATTCCTCAAAGGAATGAGAAAAGGCGTCTCAGAGGGGTGTTGCCACGCTCACCATCTTGTTATTCCCACCTCGCTCCTTCTGTGTCACATTGGCTGGCTGCATTTCCCTCTGCGTTGCGGGAGATCAAAGACTCTCCCCCACGGGAGCCGGCTGGGTGCAAAGGGATGCCAAGGTCACACCTACGACTGGAGAACCAAAGAGAGCCCAAGGTTCAGGGATGTGCTCGGTCCTACTTTTGATTGAAAACCAAATCCTTGCTCTTCAGTGGCTCGGGTTTCTTCCCGAGCAGGAGTCGAGCAAGAGTCTCCTCCAGAGTCTCCCTCCTGTTGTTGGCATTATGTCATTTGCTGGGGAAGCGTGAGTAAACGCACGAGGGCCGAATCTTGCCGACGTATTTTAAGCTCTTACAAAATACGCATCACATCAGTGGTAGATGAGGCAGAGGCAAAGGACTTCCAAAACTGCTTAGAAACCACGTGTGGAGCACCCAGCTCCAAACCTTCTGAGTCAGCAGGTCAGACCCCTGCTGTCACTGCCTTTGCGTCTGCCACGTGCTCAGTGTTCCCCTCTCCTCCCAGCAGCGCTCCAGAGCCAGGTTACACTCCGTCGGCCGTAAAACACCTCGTCAGAAACGATGTTGGGCTGAATGTGAGTTACCACCACTGCCAGGGCTCAGCGTGGCACGGCCACTGCCCCCCAAAGCCCCATCCTTGGGGCAACGGAGCTCCCTGCTGGGGCAACACGATGAGGGACGGGCAGGACAAGAGCTTTCCCGGGATGTGCCTTGGGCTGTACTTTCCCTTCCCGCTTGGGCAGGCAGGGCAGACCCAGCCCAGCTGCAGGCAGCCGTCCCCGCCGGGAGATACCTGCATTTAGCAACTACCTCCATTGAGGCTCACGCTTCGGAGGGCACAAGGGGCTCGGCTGTAGCTCTCGCTCTGTGGCTTTCCAACCCTAAACTGCACCTCATCAACCACCCAGCTGACAAAATCCCCGGCTTTTCCTGAAAAACCCGGAGAAGCAAAAACCCAAAGAGGTGAGGAGCGACTGCCGAAGAGGACGTGGCGCGCGACCCGTGGCAGTGCAGCGTGGAAACCCGCTGAGGCGGAGGCAGCCCCGGCCCCACTTCCCCATCCCGGGGCCGTGTTTCGCTGTCGTTGGTGAGGCCACTTCCTGCCAGGTTTGCGACATGGGCAGCGGAGAAGGCAGAAGTACGGGCAGAACGGAGCTAGAGAGAGGCCGAGAAGCGCTGCAAGGAAGGACGAGGAGAGGGGCGAGACCCACGACGCAGCCGGGGACCCCACATCTTGCTCCCACCGCACCATGTCTCTGGTGGAGACGATTCGGCTGTGGCAAGAAGGGGTGTGCGCAGCGGATGGGAAGGAGTGGAGGGCAGCCCTGGATGCCTTCACGGCCGTCCAGAACCCCCCTGCCAAAATCTGCTTTAACATCGGCTGCATCCACCTTGTTCTAGGGAAGCTGGCCGAGGCGGAGGAGGTAAGGTACAGCCCTTAGGGTCACTACTCCGGCGAGTTCGCATGCAGACCTGCCAGACAGATGGACACGGTGGGGAAGGGAGGAATTAAGGGCCACGGTCTGACTAAGAGAAGGATTTGAGGCCTTTAAAAGCTGGGATGAAGCGTGACACCCGCAGGCTGTTCCAATCCCAGTGAATCAGAGGCAAAGCAGCAGAAGAGGTGCAGGCCTTGCTGCTCGCCCTCCCTCTCTCTGAGAGCCGACCGCAGAGGCTCTAAGCTGCCAAGCAAGCAGTGGCAGATGGTTCCAGCTCAAAAAAATTAGGAGCCTGGTACAGGCTCCACCAGCCAGTGCCCAGCACTGCAGGGAGACATAAGCTCAAAGAGCCCAGCTTCGGCCCCTTGGCTAAAGCAGGACAGGTATAAACGCTCCACACCCTCAGGTTTTTTTAAAGGTCTTCCCTTTTTACCCCCTTTTTGCCCCACTCCTACCTCCGTGCAGGCATTCACCCGGAGCATCGGCTGGGACCAGCCCCTGGCGGCGGGCTTGGCTTATTTCCAGCGGGGGATCGTGTTTTACCGGAGGCAGAAGTGAGTGGAAGGGTTTAAAGTTTCATTTTTGCCGCTTGCGGAGATGCCAGCCTTCAGCTGAGGATGGCCTCGGGCAGGTTGGCACCCCAGGGGCCAAACTGCAACCCCTCGAGGTAAAACAGGCTCCTGTTCCATCAGCAGTGCAGTCTTGGGATTAACACCAGCCTCGGAGCATCTCTCCTCCCTCTGAGGTGTCCAAAAACACCGCAAGGAGATAGGAGAGACCCAACTAAACTCACACAAGTTTAAGTAAAGGCTTAGAGGCAGGCAGATTGCCATCACGAGGTGGTGACACCTTTGTCCGCTGCTCCACAGCCATGGAAAGGCCATTGAGGATTTCCAAGAGGCGCTGGCCCAGCTGCGAGGCAACCAGCTCATCGACTACAAGATCCTGGGGTTGCGGTACAGGCTCTTTGCTTGTGAGGTAAGAAAGACTCAACCGGCAGTTTTGATCCCAAAGGCCTATTCACCAGCTCAAGAAATCTAAGAAGACAGCCAACCTCTCTTTGTGCCTCGTAAAAAATCAAGCAAGCTGGCACGGTGCTACCGCCCTGCTGTCCTCTTCCTTTGCTGCCCTCCTGGCAGCAGTCCGGCTGCTCCGAGAGCTCATTTCCTTGCTCCCATCCCTCCGGCAGATACTCTACAACATCGCGCTGGCGTACGCCACGATGGAGGACTGGAAGAAGGCTGAGGAGCACCTTACACTGGCCATGAGCATGAAGAGCGAGGCCCAGCATAACAAGATCGACAGGGCCATGGAAGCCATCCTGGTAAGGTGGAGCAGGTCTTATAGCCACCGTGTTTGTTCACAGCAGCCCCGCAGACAGGAGGGATAAAAATCCCAGTGACAGAGAAACTGCCTTTTAGCTACAGCTTTAGCAGAGCAGGAAAAAAATCGCAGTGGGTGTGGGTGCGGGTGCTGTAGTGAGACAGGAGTTGCCTCGAAGAGTTTTGGGTCACTGGGGAGGCAGGGATGGGAAGACTGGGTTAAATGGACCATGTCAGAGCTGGGGTCGGGCTGTCACGGTAGTGTTTCAGCTTTACAGAGTGAGACCTTAACCCCAGAGGTGGGTGGCAGGGGTCATGAAGCAGTCCCTGGTCTCACCTCTGAAGAGCACTGTGACTTCTCGGTGCTACAGAAGCAGAAGCTCTGCGAGCTGGTGGCCGTTCCCGCGGGGAAGCTGTTTAGACCAAACGAAAAGCAAGTGGCTCAGCTGGAGAAGAAGGACTACCTAGGAAAGGCTATGGTAAGAAAGAAATATCTTCTTTCTTTGGGCCAAGGCTATGGGCTGAGGAGAGCTGCTGACCCTCCTCTCACCACCCCTCTGAGCTGCTATCTGCTGCCTGGTGGGCAGCCAGAGATACGGAGCTGGTCCATGCCTCGGGGATCCCCCCAGGTGTGGAGGGAGGGGTGGCATATAGGGGTCTCATGGGGAATGGGGGGACTCTGCAAGAACAGAGAAGCTAAAAGCATGTTTCTGCACAGCATGGCCTATTTTCAGTTTTTATCCTTAGCGAGACATGAGGGACAGTCAGTTGGCAACGAGCTGGAAAGGTCCCACTGGTGCTTCAACCGGAGCCAAGATTTTTTCAGGAGTGGGGAAAGAAGCTATTTAACATCTGACACCCACAAACGACCTCCAGTTCTTCCCCTGCTCCGTTTGAAAGGGGCTTTTCAGCTCAGCTAAGCGAGCAAGCTTTTCTCTCATGAGTGTACAAAATCCAAGCACTGGGACATCTGTCACCCTTGGGCCCAGGTCCTGGGAGGCAGCGCTCCTCCAGAAAGGGAACCGTCGGCAGTGTAGGCCCTGGGGAATTGGACGACCGAGAGCCAAGCAGCTCCTTGGGTGTCAGGGGAAGCCCAGAAACACACACATAACCATTTATGAACTTTCTAAATTATGTTTAAAGTCACCTCTAGGAGGTAAGGGCTTGAGTTGGGTACTTTGTCTCCCTTCAACATTTGTGATTAAAACGTAAAGGGAAAGTTTTAGGTTATAATGACTCTAACCACAGTAACAGTGAGGCTAAGAGCTGAGAACTTACCACAGCTGCAAGGTGAGTTTTGGTGCCAGAAGCACTCAGCCTGTAGTCAAAGGTGCTTAGCCTCAAATCACAGCCCCTCTTGAACCCGAAGCATCTTGAGGAACTTGGCTTGGCCATCAGCAAAGGGGGAAGGTGGACATTAGACCTCTCTCTAGGAGAGGTCTACAAGCACCAAGTCACTACCTGTCTGTCTTCGGCTCTAGGTGGTGGCATCTGTGGTTGACAAGGACAATTTTTCAGGCTTTGCTCCACTCCAACCACAGGTAAGGCACCTCCGGTGAACAGCATCCTTGGCAAAAGTTCAGGAGGATGTGGGGACTGGTATCATCCCGCAGCTTGCCAAGGGCTCTGGCTCACAGTGGGAAGGAAACAGCAGCATCACCACTGTGAACTTGCTGCTGCTGCTGCCATGGGGAGGAGGCGGACGCTGCCCCCACATCTCAGCTGCTCTCTCCATCATCAGAAAGCACAACCCAAACCCACCTACGTCTGTGATTGAGGTTAAGCTGGTTCCCTGAACAGGGAAGTAGCGGCCTGGTGGCACATCCTCTGCCCCCGCCGTTGCTGTGGGGTGACGGCTTTTGGCAGGGAGCTGTCTCAGACCCTCCCCGTCAGATTCACTAGGGTTCATCTGTCTTAAGCTTGAGTGGAGAGACAAGAGCAGTTCTGCTTTCGTTCTCCATCCTCCTCCCAGCTCCCGAAGCCCTTTGCATTTTCCACACCATTTCCCTGATGATGTAGCAGCATCTTTCCATCTCTAAAGGCACCCGAGAGTTTTCACAGGAGCTTTTCCAGAGGATACAGGGAAGCACAGCCACTGCAGCCTACAGCACCATTACACAAGATAAAATACACCCTTCTCAATGCAGGGAAGTGTTGACACCTCGCTACATGACTCAGGCCTATTTCAAGCCACTTCTTCAGAGGGTTGATAAAATCCACCAGAGACCTTAAATTACTTAGGCAAGAGAGACCGTAAAACACTATGACGGCAGCAGGGGATTTTACAAGCACAGTAATGGAAAGATACGGGGAAGCACAACATAGTTTCAACCAGTTGAGCTCAAAGCCCTGAGCTCAAACCTCTGTGAGCTGAAAGCAAAATCATGAGTGAAAACAGGATTGTGCCTCTGAAAACCAACTGCAGGTGGAAGCATTTGTAAACTGCTCCTTAGAAGGAACAAAGCCAGCGATATTCCTCACAGCACTTAAGGCAGCTGCTGTATGCATCAGGGTCCCAGGGAGCCAAAAACCTACCGCAGCCGGCTGCAAAGCCACAAAAGACTCCCTTTAGGTTCAAATCGTCTGACCTGACACCAGCACGGGGAGGAAGGAACCGTGCAGGGGCGATGGCAGGCATGGTAGAAGGCTGCAGGACATTTCTGCAAAGCAACCAAAATCCTCCAGACTACTGATAATTTTCTTTTTGGCTTCTTCTTGGCAGGCCTCTGGTCCTCCGCCCAGGCCCAAGACCCCAGAAATCCTCAGGTAAGTTGGATGAAGGATGGACAGTGCTGCTAACCCATGCAGCCAGGTCCAACCCTGTCCCGCACCATCGTAGCTGAGCATCAAGCCAGCACTCAAAACTCAGGGAGGACAGGGAACGGATCATAGAAACAAGGAGGCAGATGTCTGGGATCCCCCTACAAAGTAAGACAACAATGTCACCCACCTTCCCAACGTGTTCGCTGCTCCCGCACCCAGGGCCCTCGAAGGGCAGCCGCACCGCGTCCTGTACGAGTTCATCCCCGAGACCACCGAGGAGCTGCAGGTCCTGCCGGGAAACATTGTCTTTGTCCTGAAGAAAGAGAAGGACAACTGGGCTACGGTGATGTTCAACGGAAAGGTACCAGGGGCGTGCTTGGCAGGAGGGGGCAGACAATGGGGCGGACGCCGTGAGCTTCTGTAGAGGACTTGCAGAGCAAAGCCTGGCTGTCAGCAACAAAATGAGTTTCTGACTAAAGTCCGTTAGGTCCACCCTGGCTTAGACCACAAGGTTCAGAGAAACCCATCCAACCTGCAGCAACTAACCTTCAAGCCTCAGGGACTCTCCTGGATTCAGGGCAGGTCGACGACAAGTTCCGTTGCGTCCTGCAGCAGCGGGTTGCCTCCTTGCCAAGCGATCACCGCTCATCTCTCCTTTCCCTGCAGAAAGGGATCGTCCCCTGCAACTACCTGGAGCCTGTGGAGCTCCAGAACAAGCTGTATATCCAGGTGAGGATGCCCAGGAGGAGATGGTGTCCTAGGGAGGGCAGATCCCCACACATTCACCCACTACCTATTCTGGACCTTCCAGCAGGACCCATACCTGCAGCTCCCTCCTCCTTGTAATGCTGGGGTTGGTTCTTCTGGCTCATGGTCACCTTAACGTGAGCTCAGAGACCTGCAAGATGCTGTGTTGATGGCCCCCTGGGTGGTGGTTGGCAATGCCAGGGAGATAAGGGGTAGCAAAGTCTCCAAGTCTCCCCTCCCTGGTTCAAGACCTCAAACAGACCTTGGGAAGATAGAGGGTTGGAGTGGGGGGGCTCCACGAGGCAGCAGCACCCCAGCTCCCTTAGGAAGGGTGGGATTGTCAGCACTACCTTCTTCCCATCCGGCACAGGAAGAAACTCCTCTCGAAGCCAAGATCCCAGAGTCACCCAGCTCCACCGCTCCAGAGAAGCCGCGGCGGCCAGCACCAGGTCAGCGACAGGGAGGTGAAGGGATGGGGGGGTGCCTTAGGGACAAAACCCCCGGCAGCAGGTTTGAGACGGTTTCCTCGGTGCCGTGTCCTCAGGCTTTGAGACCAGGGCTAGGGCTCATCTCCATCTCATTCCTGGACCCATTTGCAGTCAAGGATGGGGAGACATTAAAGCAGGAGGCAGAGACAGCAACTGCAGTGCTGAGGATGGAGTAAAATAGAGCGCACAGGTCCCAGAGGAAAGCAAGTCCCTCCGTGCTCTTAATTAGCACAGCGACTAATGGGAAAAAGGGCCTGGGGATAGGAACGGGGCAAGTGACCCAGCTAGTCCAAGTCTTGGAGTAGAAGGTTCCTCACAGGCTTCTCCTTAGAGCAGGATGCTGGTTCTGGCTTTAGTGCTGCTGTGAGCTGGGCTAGGTTTGAAGGAGCTGTGGTTGCCCTGGGAAGGGGATTCCTGGCTGATGCTACCCAGTGTGTCCCACATCCCAGGCCTGGGGCAGGGATGGTAGCACCAGGGCCACCGCATTGCACCCAGCACAGTTGGTTCAGGATGCTGCGAAGCTGAAAGAGGGCTCTGCCGCCTGCATCCGCGCTGCTGCAGGAGCGCTCAGGTGCACGGTCCGAAATTGCTATTTAAAAGCTGGGGAGCGCGTGTGTTGCAGACATGCGAGAACGCAAGCTGAAACGAAGAGCTGGGAGGAAGCATTGTGAGTCGCCCTCTCTAGAAAACATCACGCAGCGCGCAGAGGTAGGAGCCTGTGGCTGAGCTGCAAGCTCCACACCGCTGCAGGAAAACTCCATTTGGGGTAGAAAAATATCACCGTGCAGAGACCATACCGCATGGGTGTTAACCTGCTGCACTTTATTCTGGCTATCAATGGCCAACCTGCTAAAAAAAAAAAAAAGGGAACGTGTGGACAACCAATTGCCCAGCCCCCTGCTCTGAGGCACGCCTGAGCCAGTTGGTGGTGGGGAAAGGTGGACCAAAAGACTACGAATGACAGGACAGGGCTCGTCTCCCAAGCAGAGCAGCCTCACAGGCAGGCCAGTGGCAAAACTGATAGAGAAGATGGCTGTGGCTCATGAGACTTAAGGGCAAACAGCTCAGGGACCCAACAACCTCAAAGAGCATCTTTATGGCACCAAAAGCCATCGCAGATCCAGCAGCAGGACCGCATTCAAAAGCCTAACTCTGTCTCTTCCTGTAACAAGCATGGTCGTGTCAAAGCACTGACAAAACATACAGTAGGTCCTCGGGAAGAGACTTCAACAAACCTGCATGAAATCACCCTACCTGGAAGTCTGAATTTAGTTTTACAACCCTGGTGAAGGACAGGGATTGCCTCTGCTTTTCAGTGTGGACCTAGGGAGATCAGGAGAGCAAAGACACTAAAACCAGTAGCTCACATATTTTTGTTTCGTTTTTAAAATCCACCCAGGAAAGACATCCCACCCCTAAAGTTCCCATCCCCGTAACAGGGAAGGTCCAGAACCCAAACCTCTGCACAGTGGTCATATCTAAATCTTACGGGTGAACCACCATCGCAGCTGATGCTACATCCATTCCAGGGACCACCGCCGGCTCCAGGGTCGGTTGGTGTTCCTGCAGATAATGATGGGTGTCGAGGAGGGGGACTGCAGGAGATCTGAACCTGTATTTAGGCACAGAGCAGCAATGCTTACCCTGTCCCACTTGCTGAGCCACCTCTTTCTTCCTCTGCAGACTACGCTCCTGCGAAACAGCCAAGAGACGCAGCAAAGGTAACATCTTGTCAATGCAGACCCCGAGGTCCTGTTGGTGTTACAAATCTGCATTTATTGCACGTTGAAAGGTGCTGGCATGCCTGGCAAGCACCGTAGCTCTGGAAGTGTTTCAGGTTTTCATCATTCAGGAGCTTCTCCAAAGAGTAACGACAGGGCTAGGGGCCAGCAGGTCATCAGGACCCAACCAGGTGGCTAGGGCTGCTTTTTGGGAATGCTCCTCCAGGTCCACTCCCCGGTGCGCCCGGGGCTGTCAGCACAGCCCTTGGACGACTCTCATCTTGGTTGACCTGCGGCACTCGAGAAGGGAGAAATAGGAGAGAGCTTGGCTAACACACACGCTCCTGGGCAGGGTCAGCGCATCTGAAGGTCACGCTAAGGAGAAAGATGGGAAAACACAACAATCCTAGCTCAAAAAAAAAAACAAACCAAAAAACAAGAGGGGGCTGGAGGGTGGACACATCTCCCGAAAACCACAATTTGGTTGCTAAGTGCCTGATCTATCACCGCGCTCTCTCCTGGGACAAGCCCAGGGCTGCCAACCGGCCACACGTCCAACCGTAGCTTGGGTGACATGACTGCTGACCTGTCCCCAGGGAGGTACCAAAGGCTGCACACACTAGCATAGACCTCTCCCTGACCAGTGGCCAGCTGATGGCCCGCAGCTCAGATCTGACCCGGGTGACCGCAGTTTCTACGTCCCGGTCCCTCTCCCTGCTCTCACCAAGCCACGCAAGCTCTGACATCCAGTTTACCGCCTGCAGGAGGACAAAGCAGCCGTCTCCGGCCCCCACATCCTCAAAGTGCACTACAAATACACGGTTGCCCTGCAAGTCAAGCCAGGTCTCTCCTACACGGAGCTCCTGGACCAGGTTTGCAAGAAACTGGAGCTCCAGCCCGAGCACACGCAGCTGAGGTGAGGCCCTGCCCGCCGCAGGGAGCTAGAGTTGTGTTTTTAGGGCTCCCACCCCTACCCCATGTCCTCTGCACACCCAGGTACAAGCCCGTGGAGAGCCACGCGCCGGTGACTCTGAGAGCGGAGAACCTGGAGACGGCTTGGAGCCAGCGCAAGGACAACTGTCTGACAGTCTGGTGCGACATCACGGAGGTCAGTGACAGCTAGTGCTGGCAGCCACCTCTTCTGCCCGCTCTAGGCATGGAAGCTAAGCGGATGTCACCTTTGCTTTCCTTGCCATGAGCGCAGGCTTGTGGCTTTCAAAGCAAGGCAGTGACCTCTTGAAAGGCAGAGGAGCAAAGAGCGGGTGAAGAGGAGAAGCAGAGCTTGTGTCTCTTACCTGGTACAAAGAAAAAGGAGAATCCAAAAGGTGTCCTGACCGGTTTATTTCCTGCCCTAGGGAGAGGGGTTTTTACCAGACAGCAAACCAGAGGAGTCGCCGCAGGAGGCAACGCTAGAGCAAACGGGACCAACCCAAGTTGTTGCGCAGTACAACTATGAAGCCACCCAACCTGAAGACCTGGAGTTTCAAGCAGGAGACGTGATCCTTGTTTTATCCAAAGGTAATCGTGCTTCCTCTGTGACAAGGGAGGGGAGGGACCTCCCAGCTCCGGCGAGAGCACAGGCCTGACCCCGAGATGCCAAGCGCCTGGAGCAGCTGCTGCTCACTTCAATGGAAGTTGTGGGTTCCCAACACAGATTCATAGAATAGAATCACAGAATGGTCTGGGTTGGAAGGGACCTTAAAGGTCACCTTGTTCCAACCCCCCTGCCATGGGCAAGGACACCTTCCACCAGACCAGGTTGCTCAAAGCCCCATCCAACCTGGCCTTGAACACTTTCAGAGATGGGGCATCCACAACTTCATGTGCCAGTCAGGTCAAAAACTCTCAGGTATTTGGTCAGACACTAGCTGCATGTTCTTCAGTGGAGCCTACAAGCTTCACTAGGGACTTTGATCTCTTTCCCCAAACCCTCCTCTCCTCTAAAGCAAACAGTTTCATGCTGGGGACCTGCAGAGCAACAGCCTGGCTCAGCCAGCCTTCACCGATAGCAAACTTCTCCTCCTGCAAGCTGCCATTTGCCACCTTTAGACAGAAAATAGGCTGCTTGGATTTCTGCCACAGGGCACTCAGAGAAAGCCCGCATTGAATGCAAACATTTTACCAGACAGGTTAGAAAAGAAGCTTGCAGAGAGTGCAAGAACATGAGGTGGCAGGTGGAAGCCAGCAGAAAGGACAACCTAAGGACACATATGAGAGTTGCCTTCCTTTGCATCGCTAACAGCTTCCAGTTTCCATGAAGGACCATTAAAAACACCCACCTCAAAACCCCACAAAAAACCCAACCTACTGAGGTGTTTCCAGCCTCTGCTTTGCACGCGCCTGGTGAAGGACAGGGTTTTCACCTTAGCAGCCAATTCTCTGGAGCCACAAGACAAGCAGGACCTAAAGTCTGCAAGATTTTGTTTTCTACAAGAGCCTTCTTCCACCGCAACTGCCTCGTGCTGCAGCGGCAGCAGGGCTCCTCCAGCTCTACCACAGGCTTCCCACCTACACACATCTTCCAACAGATTTTCATCACACCCCTGTGTCTGCCACCCCCTTTCCCCAAACACTTTCAAGATGGGAGAGTTTCACTTGAGCTGTGTTTAAGCTTACCGACGGAAGTTTATTTTTTTTTCAAGATGCCTCATTTTGGCTGCCACCCCTGCAATGGGAGAATGCTCTTACTCCCATTTCCCTCACCTGGCACCTTTTTTCTGGCTGGTTTTCTTTTTTAAGGGTACAATCTTCCATTAGCCTCAATCCTCTTCAATATTAGTCTTTAGTGCTCCTATGAGAATTGAGGCTTAAATATGGACTAAATATCAGCAAGTACATGTTTTTGAGCTGGATCCTTTCAAGCCTGTGCAGAAGGCACAGGAGAGAGCACAAAGTTACCGTGCTTCAGCAAAAGCTGCCAGTGAGCCCATACCAGGTGAAGAATTACATACAGACCCCGCACAGGGCATCCGTTTCCCTCCTCAGTTGAGCCTCTGAGTGAAATCAAGCCATCAGAAATAGTTTTAAAGGCAAAACAAACAAACAAGATGATACTTTGCTATATGTACCTCTATCACTCATTTGTGCTGGCTGGCAGGCTTTGGCAGCAGCACACCATGGTCCCCCCTCTACTGCTGTACAGGTCAGTTTTAGCACCATGCAACACTAATGACTCCCCCCACCCCAAAACCCTACTCTCCCCTTCGCTGCTGAGCTACATATTTCCCATTAAAAAGTTGGTTCTCACCTCGTTTGGGTCCCCACAGCAGGAGTTTACAGAGCTTCTTAGCTTTACTCAACCCAGGGTAGCAAAGGCTTTTGCGTTTTGTTTCAGGTTTTTTTGCTTGTTTTTCGATATGACCATGGATCAGCAGGTGAAAATACATTTTAGTTGGCATCCTGGACAGCCCAGGGTCTCAGATAATTTCCGTGCTCTCCCCACTCACTTTGTTTCCACCGTCTTCTATTCAAAGAAGTTTCTAAGCCCCTCAGTCTCTATTTTGATCTACTTTGCCTACCTTCGCTTGGCAGCGCATTCTTTCTTACAACTTTCCACTCTACCTCATTCCTCCTCAGCTCCTCTCCTCCACATTCTTCTCTTTACCAGGCTTCAGCACAGCTAAAAGGTTTATCAGCAGAAAACCTTAAAACGGTGATCTCAGGCCTGTCTGTAGCATGTAGAGGTTATTAAGCTGCTGTATATCCCTAGGGTGACAAAAAAAAAAGTGTCAATTTTATCTTCCAGTGAATGAAGACTGGTTAGAAGGCCAGTGCAACGGGAAGATAGGCATCTTTCCATCCGCTTTCGTTCAAAAGTCTAACACTAAAGACTCAGAGACATGATTTTAGAAGAGCTTCAAGTCGTGAACCTGGAAAGAAATTACGAATTCAACTGTTGCAGTTAAGAAGTTTCCATATTAATCACTGCATCTGAAAATGAACTTTAAATATTATTGCTGCTTGTATTAAAAGCTTTATTTTTTATTTTACCTTTTGCACTATTCTCCAAAACAGGGACTTACTAAAAAGTTGCCAACTGTCTTCCTGTTAGGAATAGATTCAGTCCTAAAACCTGTGCTTGCCAAAGACTTGCTCTGTCCCACCTGCCCCATCCTTGACAAGGGGTTCCTACAGACACGCCAGCAGCTGGGAAAACCCATGTGAGGGTGGTGTCGCTCCCATTTACAGCCCTGCCAACGGGTCCCGGAGAGGAACTGGCCATCAGGAAGCTACGGAGCAGGAAAGGCTGAACAGCATTTGCTTCCTTAAAACATCACTGCCAACCCCAAGAGCTTAAGAGACACCAGGCAGCCTCACCCTGCTCCAGCTGACAATTCACTTCAAAAATCACAGTGACTTTAGAACCGTCCCCCCATTTTTTTCACCTTTGCGAGCCATATCTCAAAGCTTTTTCTCAGCAGTCAGAAGAGACAGTAAGTGAGAAAGATGCTGCCTGGAATCTCAGCAGGTCACACAGTAGCAAAGTTGTCCACCTTTATAAAAGCCTACACAACTTTGATGCCCTCTTCCCTAGCCAAGAGGTTTGCCCCTCTCTGCCCTTCACATTATTTCACCTTCCCCGGATGCTGACAGCTGGTCCTTCTGGCTTTTTAAAGTTATCTATCCTGCCTCATCCTCAAAGCATGGAAGCTGTAGACACAGCCAGTCATCAACACGTGGGGAGCGTTTTGCTTCGAAGATGCTAAGGGGAGCGGTTTCCCCCTCCACTTTAGATGCTACCATGCAAGTTCTGGACAACTCCACTGTCCCAACAACATAAATACCATATTTTTTAAAGGAACTTACTCTGAAGAGTCGCCTGGATACAATGAACACCTGTCACTTCAAAACCAGAACATCTCTGTCGTCTTCTTGGACACATTTGGAAGTACGCTGTTTAAAAACTGGCTGCAAACAGCCAAGGTCCCGATCTGCAGGTAGGGCAACAGCAGAAGGATCTGTGTCCTCCCAACTCCTACCACCTGTGCTCTACTGGGTTCAGTCTGCAGCTGAAGAGCAGCTCTGCAAGCTACTCTCAGGCCAGATTTTTGGTTCAGTACATAAAATGCATTGCACACAGGCAGCACAAAACCACGATCCAATGATCTGCACTGAGCCCAAGCCAGAATCTCTGCTATTTACTTAGTTCTCTTTCAAATGGGGGGTGTGTGTGTGTGGAATCAACCTCAAATCTTCTTCTGACTTCTCCAGAAAAATAACGGATTTTTAAAAGCCTGCGGCCAAGTCACACAGGAAATAAACACCACACTCAGACCTGGATGGAGAGAACATGGTTTAATTAAAGGCAAAGCTGATTTCAGCAGCTGCAGTTCTTGCACAGACAGACAAAAAACACAAAAAAAGCTTACGACACAAACCAGTTTCTGTCGGGGGCCCCTTCCCTTGCTCCTCCAGGTGTCGGAGGGCGGGAGGGGAGTCCCAGCCGAAAGTCAGACGCATTCCTGAGGCCAGATGCTCATGCACAAGTGGAACGGTGCGGCTGGGACCCTGGCACTGCCGGGAGTGAGATGGTGAACCTGGTTAGCTCGTCTAGGGTGCAAGAGTCAGTGACGGTTCAGACACTGGAATGTCGCAGCTGCCTGGGTGCACAGCTCGATACACAAATCGGGAGGGCTGAAGGGAAGTACAGAGGGGTTTGGTTCGTATTACCACTGGGTGGGAACTTCACTTTTTGGACTTTTGAAAAGGAAATACAGCTCTGAAACGCAACAAAGAACAGTAATGTTGCTAAGGTGGAGATCGTGGGGGAGCTGCTCATAGCCCCGGAGGGGTATCGTGTCTCCTCCGTTCTTCCCTTTTTGTATTCTTTGGGGCAGCCCAGACTCCAGTGTCGCTTCGGCTCCTGCATGTGCTTTGCTCTGCAGCTGACCTCCAGCTCAGAGGTCCTGAATCATCGCACAAACCCCTACTGCTAAACACAGCAAACGGACGTTGAGATTGTTTCCGTGACTTCCCTGGGAAACCTAACAAAAACGCTGTCCTTTTCTTTAACGAAGCTTCCAGTCTTCCTTTCCCCCTAATAAATAGCAAATAAAACATTTTCCTTTTCCCTTCTGCACCTTTTCATCTATGAACAGCACTATGCTTTCTTCCGTGTGTGGCTTACACACGCGTGTCCACGGGTGCCTTGAATTTCATTCTGGAACTGAAAGTTTGGGGCTGCAGCTGGGGGCGGGGAGGCGCCGGGGTAGGGGGGGAACAGGTTTCTGCAGAGCTGACGTGTGTCTGCGGGGGTGCGCACGCTCCGCACTGTCCGGGCCGACTGTCGGCTTTACCCAGCCCTGCTGGACCCCTGATTATTTTCTGCGAGATGTTGCACACATTGGTAATGAAAGTACTAGCGTCCAGCGAAGATGGGAGGATGGAGAGAGAAAGAAAAAAAAAAAAACCAAAAAACCAAAACCAAAACCCATTGAAAGCTTTCTATCTACCTATTAAAATGAGTCAGGCTGTGAATGCACAGACTAGCCTGCCCTTTGTGGGGCTAGCCACTATGCTACAGTAAAATGTACAGGAATCAAACATTAATTTAAAACCCCAGAGCAGTTAACTTGCTTGTCCAGCAGAGTGCTGCAATGCCCCACGTCACCCATGATAGCTCAGACACCTACTGAGAGGAGGGCATTTCATGCTGGAGTCTCTAACCCACCCCGCGGGCTGGCCAAAGCCTTTGGGCGAAAGGTGAAGTGGTGCCAAGTGCCAGACTCTCCTTCATGAAACTCCTTCGCTAGCCCAGGAGATAGAGCCCCACCTTGCCACCAACCACCTCTGACCGGGGGCAGCGACCGGGGCTTTCATTGCTACACACTGACTACGAAGCACGTCTGTGTACGGAAGAATTCAGTGTGATCTTACTACTGAGATAGTAATAAAGATGTTTAGGAGTAATTTCAACTACATTCTCAGTCAGCAAAGCAATCATTAATGGATTCCTATTTTATCTCCCCAAAAGAGAGGAAAAGGATTGAGAAGTTCTCATTGGCTTCTCCCATCTGCCCTTCATTCTCAGCTTTTACTTCCCATGTGGCTGGGGACATGCACGATGGAGAAGGTGAGAGGCGGTGATATCGGGTCACTGAGTGAGACAAACAGCAGTTCCTCTCTCCCTCCGGAGGGCCCAGGGATGGGAGAGTTCCTGATGTTGTTTTCTTGCACTGCAGACGTTTTGTGCACACTCAGCGGGTTGGTGGAGCACTTACGCCCTCCTGACAGCAAGGAAGAGAAGAGAGGGCTGCCACCTGCACAGGACTGTGTGGGCCAGTCCTGCAAACCCAACATGCCATGGTTTATGGAGCCTTCGTTTGCAAGGGTTGCCACCTCTGTCTCAATGCGGCGGGTTCATGGTGCCTTGTCCACGTTGCTGCTTCTGCTTCTGCTGCATTAACAGCTGCTCCAGGGCCGAGGGTCCAGGGTGCATCATGGAACTGGACCAGATGGACTAAAAACAAACAGCCAACACTAGCACCTCCTTGTGTTACACAGCCCCCCTCTCACAGATGAGAAAGCGGAGACAGATTTCTATATTCTCCCTCTTCTCTTGATCACTCAGATCTGGTTGACCATGAAAGTTATCCAGACTTCAAGAGAAGGCTTTCTAAAGAGAGGCTCCCTGGAAGAAGTTCATCCTCCTCCAGAATCTGCATTACCATCAAAATTCATCCCACATTAATGATTACTAATTTTAGATTAGTCAAAGCAAACGTTATAATTTCTTCTGGTTCTGCCAGCCTGGTCTTGTTCCACAAAATATTCTAAACCAGCAAGAACTGGAAAACTGTGACATATTCCAGCATTGGTCACACCTCCCACATTGCCCACATAAGTGAAGTGGCAGGAAAAACCTTCGGTTTCTGCCACTGAACTCTGACGCTTGTAACAGGCTAACGCCCATCACCGCGTCTTCTGGCCCCATAGACAAGCACCCGTTCCTGAGCATGGTTCCAGTCAAACATACCTTCAGGCTCTCCATAAGCACAGCTGAGGAATCCTCCATAGCAGGAGGGCCTTGGGCTGCCCAGGTGCCACTGGGGGCACTGGACTGGTGCCAGCTGCTCTCCGAAGATGACGATGTCGCTGGGAGATAGTCCAGACCAAACCCTCCCATGGCTAAAACAGGAGAAAAACAAGTTCAAAGGAACGTAGCAAAACTGCTGTGAAACAAACGCCATCAGCTGCCTTCACGCAAGCCTGGAACCCAGCACTTGCCTGGCTTATCTGTTTTCCAGCGGTCTGCGACTCTCCTGTCTCTGTTGTCCGGAGTCCCAATAGGTCCGAAGTTGGAGAAAGGAACAGAATTGTGGTTATGGGTTGGAGGGGAGCTTGGCAAGCTGCTGGGGTTGGAGGAGTGAGGAGACTGGCTGGCTGGTGTCGAGTGATCTAGTGATTACAAGGTAAGAGGAAAAAGGTCAACAGAAACAGCAGGAGCCTGTCGATTTTAGATTTCTTACTGCTGCTGCAAATTCTGCCATCACCCAGTTTTCTCCAATGCTGAAGAGCAGTTTTTATTCCCTCCATTACAGGAGCGTAATGCAAATTCCTAAGTTCTGAGTGGAAAACTTTTGTGCATATCCAAGAACAGAATGACTGTGTTTAATGCATACATGAGCTTACCAGAAAAAACAAAAACCTGGAAACCTCAAGAGGGCTGGCTAGCCAAAGTGAGTTTTTCCCATGTTTCTTGAAGAACTTTTCGCAAACTAAATAAAAAAAGTAATCTGTCTCCTAGCTTGACACACCAATAAAAAAAACCTAATTACATTAGACCTTGAGGAGTCTGCAAGTTTACAACCCAAACTCCCAAGTCTGTGAATGTTTTACACTTC